TAAAAAACTTATATTTTTTTTTTTTTGAAAGTGTACGCAGACTTATTGGAGGGAATTTCTGAGTTTTTTTGACAAAATATATTTTTGAAAAAATGTATAAAGTATTACACTGATATTATTTACTTTTTATTTAAGCTTACAATTTTAGCTAAGAAAAAAATGCATTGATTAAAATACATTTTTCTATGCTTTAATTGTTTTATTAATTTAAAGTTTAGTCTGTACGCAGACTTTTGTGACTAACTGTACATATGTTTGTAAGAATTTTTTTCATTCTTTTCAGCTATATTGTTATTCAGCATGACCTAAAAGCAGGTTTTTATTAAAAATTCCCCCTTTCTGACCTCTAGCATACCTGTTTACTTCCCCCCTCGTAATTAACGTTATTCACTCCTTCTTGATTGCATGTAAGGCGACACTGAGTATGATGGTTAAAGGCTATTTGCGATTAAAACTGTGAAGCCTGTTTTGGGGAAAAAAAGCTCATTTCGGACGTTACTACGCAAAATATAAAAAAAATACCCGGAATAACAAAACACTGTTATACCGGTTTATCAAAAATTGACTTTATAACCGAATTATACGGATTTTTCTTCAATCCGGATATTTGGAGTTTGCTGTTTCCGAAATTATTTTATGAAAAAAAATATCCGAACGGATTTAATTCGCACGGTTTGCCGTTAAAATGAACAGGACTAGCACTAAAGATCTGAGAACGCACTATCGAATACCGTGCGCAGAATTGTTCGAAACCTTTCAAATAAATAAATAAATATCGCCGGAGAGAAGCGATGTTCTGAATGGCAATCGACTTGCGGTTTTCTCAGTTTTGGAGCAGCGTTTTCCACATCGATTACTAATAGTCCATTTTCCCGAACCGCCTAATTTTAATCGAAAATCTCGCCTCGCGCAGAGAACCCCGCCTGCGTGTCATACATTTTCTACTCTCTCGTTCCCTCTCCTCCAGTCCTCCCGACTCTTAAATTGTCGTCTGCCGGAATCAACACCTTTTGCCACCGGAATCGATGTGAACCACCTTTGTCAATATTAATGACCTCATTAACCACCGGAGCGAGTTCGATATTCGGCCGCTAGATGTCGCGGGGCGTCTTCTCTAACGACTCGGGTTTTTCAGCCCAGCTGCTGCTGCTCCCGAATCGAATTTCTGGCCCGTCTTCCGGAAAAGTTTTAATCGTCGGTTTTCACGAAAAGAATGTTTGAGGTCGGAGAGTAGATGGGGAAGTGCAATGAGTAGGGAGGGAAGGGGAGGCGCAACTGGAAGGGGTGCGCGTAAATTATGGATCGTTTCGCGTTCACGATAAATGGTGCTCGGAATTTCAGACTGAATTATTTTTGTTCCACCTCACTTCCGCTAATTATTCGCACCTCCGTTCTTGGATACTTAAATGTTCTATTTTTTTTTTTTTTTTTTTTTTTTTTTTTTTTTTAATCACCTCCTTGGAAGAAAACATTTCGTCTTACACGCGATTTGCAGAAAAGTTCTTTCTCCTGAACAACAACATAAAAATTGCTTGTCTCAACATTTAAAAGCATGTTACATACACTAAAGCGTTTTTAATCTATCATAAACATCACGTTAAGATTAATACTTTTTTTGCTTAATGTTGGTAAGTTTAGTAATAACGAAGACATTCTATATGAAAGATGCTTGGAAAATATATGTACCAAAACTTGTATAATAACAGCCAGGAATGCCGGGACTTGGTTATTAAAATACAGCATAAGCCAAAATGTCAATGGGATTTCAGATCCTCATGTAATATTAAAAAATATGTACAGTAAGACCCCGCTTAACGCGGGGGATACGTTCCATCGAAGTAGAGCGTAATCCGAAACAGCGCTAAGCGAGGCTATCTTAACATGTAAATAATGGGGTTAGGGGAAGACGGATAAATAATGGTTAGGCATTAAATTTAATAATTTTTTTTTAATAAAAAAAAATCAAACACTTATTTCTTACAAAAATAAAAACAACATAAACGCATATACTTTTAAAAACAAATAAAATTCTCAGTCAGTTCATTCAGTCTATTCTGGGTTTCCAATTTTCTGCTGCCTTTTTGTCAAGAAGGCATTATGATAGATTGGCTTAATGGCATATTGCGTTCAATTCGTCGTCGTCAATCCATATAGACAGTCGTTTTTCCATTTCCTCTATAATGTTATTTCTAGAACGGGTAATTCTAGTTGCAGAGCTGGACGTAGTTGCAGTTGCCGATGACAGTATTTTTTCTTTATTCTTAAGAATTGTCCTTATTGTTGAAGTTGCCAAAATCAATGCAGCAATAATTTGAGATTGACGTTCACCAGAATCTAATCTTCTAATCACTTGCATTTGAGTTTCCAGTGAAATGCTTTTTCTAGGTTGCTTTGTTTTCTTTTTTTTTATTATTATCACCCATGATAAAAACTAAAGATCATAATATTTGTCACTGTATTATTAATCGTTATAGTATTATATATCAAATTTACAATAATGTCAACAAATGTTGTTTCAAATGATAAAAAGCAAGAAACACAACTACACTGTTTCGGATATGTTATTTGGAAACCTAGCGCTGCGCACAATTTCGGAGAATCCCCGGGTTGAAATAAAAGAGCGCTAAACCGAAACAGCGTTAAGCGGGGTCTTACTGTAGAATTTTATTTATTTTAATTCTGGTTCGGTACTTTTCCGTTTTGCCTGCGCAAGCGATAAAGTCGCCAATAATGGTACAACGAATGCCAAACGGATTATCTTCTATGGTAACCTTTTACGCTTCATTTTCAAAACAAGTCGCAGCCATTTCTTATCAGATCGATTGTTTCTTTCAATACTGGCATACAATTACATAGAATTTTTACAAGATAATTAAATTTTATGCCCTAAGACCATTGAAGGAAATTAAGTCAATTAGGATGCAATCACACCGCGCAGCCGAAAGCAAAAATATAGAAAAGGCAAAATCAAGAGTTAAATTCACCAATTCTAATGAGAATGCACTACCGTAGTAGAGCGCTACGGTTTTACATAATTTCTGAGTAAGCTAGTCGTACGAATTGAAATAATTCTTGCATTTAAATTTGTATTCCAAATTAAAATTTAACTCGAAATTAATGTACATAATTACTGAGAGAATTAGATTTTTCTAGCGTAGTTTATGTGAGATGAGATCACTTGGGGTCACGTGATACGAACCGGCGAATCAGGATGTTGAACCATGAACGAACGCATAGTAAATTCTTAATGTCTTTTTACAAATTTATTGTCGTTATTTATTAGCATTTTACAAAATTTTTAACCGTATTAAAATGTTTATGTCTTCAAAATAAAAAATTCTTAGAACTAACATTCGTTAACCTTTTGTATGTGTATACTGTATGTTGTCGCCAACTAAGTCTGCTTGGCGAGATTTGAGCCGGCGAAACGGAAAGGTACCCTAGGTTCTAAAAATATAATATTACAGGAAAAACCGAAATTTTGAATTGCGTATTTATTAGGCCAAAGGGCGTTAGCCCAGAAGGGCTATTAACTTCGTTTTGGCATTTTGTTGCATTTCATAATAAACGGAGTTTCACTTTTCAAATTGTTGCCACCCAATATTACAGCCTTGTATTATCTTTAAAGAAATTAAATAATGAAGAATCTGCATGGATGGATGTATGTTTCTCACGTTGTGATAAAACAATGGTACATAGAGTCATCCAATTTTGAATAACGTAGTCCTCCATTCGAATATGGGTATCTGAAAGCCCAAATATGCAATTTGGAATTTGTTTTATTATATCTTTCATATTTTGTAAAGCATTTAAGAGTTTTGATTAAGAAACTCAACGATTTCAAAGCGAGCAATGGCAACACTGTACGAAAAAAAAAAGTTATCTCCAGCGCGCGAGACTGTGTACCGGAAATTCTAGATATGCTCTTTTAAAATTATTTTAAAAGTGATGAAGTGCGAAGAACGTGATATTTAATAAATAAAAGGTAACACACAAAACGTTAAAAAAAGTTCCTTTGGGCGTAATATAAAATCTGAAAAACATTTTTACTTTTTAGTCCAAAAGGGCAATTTGCCCTGAAGGACTATTAATTTTGTTTTGGCATTTTGCGTTGATTCACTACAAGTGTTGTTTCATTTTCAAATTGCTGCCACCCAATATTATCGCCCTGTATTATATTTGAAGAAGTTAAATAATTATGAATCTGCGTAAATGTATGTATGTTTCTCCCACTGTGATAAAACAACGGTACCTAGAGCCATTAACTTTTGAGTGACTTGCGTCACCACCCGAATATGGGCATCTGGAAGCCCAAATTTGGAATTTGTTTTATTATCTATTTCATATTTTGTAAAACTTTGACGAATTTTTGATTAACAAACTCAAGGATTGCAAAGCGAACCATGCCAACGTTGTACAGAAAAAACATTTTTATCTCCAGTGCGCGAGACTGTGTATATGCGAAGTTCTAAAGATAGGCTCATTTTAAAATTATTTTGGGATATTGCTGTGGAACTGAATTTTATGGTTTAAGTGCGAAGGACATGGTATTTAATAAACAAAGGTAACATGCAAAATGTTAAAAAAACGCCCCTTTGGACGTAATAAATTTTTGTACATTAAAAAAATTATTTGCACATGCAGACTATCAGAAAGGTATGATATTCATTCAATTGTTATATATTAAATCTTTAAAGGCAAGGTAAATCAACGTAAAAAGAATGCAAATAAGTAAGAAAGAAAAATGAGGCAAAAGGATTCAAATCAATGTCCGCTTGTCTCAATTTTGTTTATATTTATATGCATTCGCGATTATGTAGTCAAGTATATTCCTGGTTATGCAGTGGTTATGTTATGTACTGCAGGTTTTTAGAGCGATACCTGTTTTAACGTTCCCTGATGTATTGCTTGTTTTCATTTCTTTATTTGTTTTATTTCTCCAAAAATCCAACCCTGAACAATTCTCTTGCATACTCACAGGCAACTGTTATTGTTTTCAGAAAGCGTCGATTTGTGTGTGAAGACCATAGTCCAAGCTTATGATACCACGTGACAGGGAAAAGTCTTTGGATTAGCGAAGATGTAGCGCAAACTTGATTATTAAACTGGTAAGTAATTTATAACATTATTTTTGTTTTATCTCTGTAACTTAATTAATTAAAATTTTAAATTACTAAGAATTAAGTAATCCCAGGTTTGTTTGTTTTTTGCCTAGAAAAGTATCTGACGTGGCACTACATGACCTCCTGTGGCGTCATTGAATTACACACATTTTTTCCTGCATTTCATTTGAACTTGTTATCTTCGATTTGGTTAGCGATATGTTTTGCATTCAACCAATTCACTTCTCTTTTGACGACAAGGCAAAACGCATAAAAACTCAAAAGACATTCATTAAAAATTATAAAATACAGAAAAATTTAAAACACCGCATACAGTTAAAAACACAGTTTTTACAATTGAAATTAGAGTTTCTACGCCAAAACAAGCAATTCGGCCAGCGGGCCCGAAGACATACATTTCGGTGCGCAAAACTTAGTTAAGGTTTCATCCCACTGGGCTGTGCGTTATACGCCGGATTGTAAGGTATTTATTTATTTATTAAAAGTTATGTGAAATTCTACAAAGGTTCTCTTCATTATTGTGCATTTTAAAGCAATTTAAATTTTACTTAGTTAAATTGATCTACTAACTTACTTTATATATCTATTTTACTTGTTTTTCGAAAGTATAGGAGACGAACTAGATACATTCTGAAATTATTAATCATGTAAATTCGGAAAACATGAACTTTCGATTTCATATTTTCTCGTGTAACAGTAGCACACTCGTCGCGTATTCGAGAGGTCCAGGTTCGAGTCCCAGCGATGGAATAGCTCATTTTTCACATCTGCAAGTACTACGAATTTAGCTGTGAACTAACAACTGAGAAACTGATGCTGTCCCGATCCCCGGCCGCCGAGAAATCTCTAGTACCTTCCACGTCTTGAAATTACTGGAAGACATATAAGCGACGGATACGGTTACAGCTACATACGAAAGCAATTACTACATTTATTCAATTCCAATACCAATTACTATTATACAGATCGAATGCAAAATGTCGGCAAGTTTGGCGACTTGCCAAATATATACTATATACAGAAATATATACTATATATCTGCCAAATATATACTATATATCTGTACTATATACAGAGCAATATTTTAATATAACAATATTTTAATTCACTATATACAGAGCGTATTCTTAGGCCGCCGCCTTCAACATGAACAAACATTATTTTTTTTCCAACTATGCGAGCAACAGCGCCCTCTAGCCTTTTCCTTCAAATTACACAACATTCCCCACCTGAACTCGGTGGAGAGTTCATCTAACAATAATATATTCTAGAATATTCAATTAATATTTCGACAATCAATCCTAGAGAAATGATTAAATATAAAAAACATGCATACATAATTATAAGCATATAAATTTTACAAAACATTAAATGATACCTATCAGCAAAGGTCAGGAGAATCGAACCTAAAAATGATGTAAAAAAAGTTAGTTATCGATGTTAGTTATCGAACCTAAAAATGATGATTCTCCGCACCCAGGATTTGGCGACTAAATCCCCTAAAGCCCTAGTCGCCCTTTAAAAAGGGTAGTATATAAAGTATTTCTCCTACTTCCCTAGCGTGCCTTCGTGGTGTAGTGGTTCTGCACACTGAGCCGGTATTCCAGAGGTCCGTGGTTCGATTCCCGGCGAAGGCGGTTGCATATTTTTCATCTTTTCTGCTTCCAGTTAACTCAAATGTTTACCATGTTTGGCGACTTTTGGCGATTCTTTGCCAATATGGTGACAAATATTAATCGCCAAAACCGTTGCCAGCGTGGCGATATTTCGCCAATTTAGCGAGATAACCATTTAGGCAATTTTAAATAGACTTACCTCTTGTAATCTTATTTTTCCGGCAAAGCATCGTATTTTTCATGTATTTCTTGTCTCATTATACAAAAAATACTACATTTTTCACATACAATTTCATGTGTATGAGATCCTAAATTCTTACATCGTTATGGATGTTTTCATTTCCACTCTGTGCTATGATAGATGGGATGGATATTCACTGCGTAAATTTTAAGCTGTTGGGCTGAATTCAGTTTAGAAACAAAAATTATAAACTTTTTGTTTCGAAGTCGCAGACCCTCTATGATTAATCTCGTCAAAGTTGTTTTTGCACATGTTTTAAGACTAGTTTCTAAAATATTGTCACGAATTTTGTATTTAAATAGCTGATTTTAGTAGAATTCTAATTAAATCTGTTGGTACTTTTCCGTTTCGCCGGCGCAAATCTCGCCAAGCAGACTTTACTGGCGACAACATACATTATACACACAAAAATTATTAAAAAAATGTTAGTCCTAAGAATTCTTTTTTTGAAGGCATAAACATTTTTAATATCGCTTAAAATTTTATAAAAAGCCAATAAATAAAGACAATAAATTTATAAAAAGACATTAATTTAAGAATTTACTATGCTTTCATGGTTCAACATCCTGTTTCGCCGGTTCATATCACGTGACTCCAAACGATCGTATACTACTCTACAAAAATCTAATGCCCTCAGTAATTATCTACATTAATTTCAAGTTAAATCTTAATTTGGAACACAAGTTTAAATGCAAGAAATACTTCAATTCGTACGAATAGCTTACTCAGAAATTATGTAAAACTGCAGTGCTTTACTTCGCTAATGCATTCTCATTAGAATTGATGAATTTAACCCTTGACTTTACCTTTTCTATATTTTCGGCTTCGGATAAACGCTGTGATTGCATCCTAATTGATTTAATTGCCGAAAATGGCCTTAGACATAAAACTGAACTATCTGAATGAGGCGTAAAAGGTTACCAGCGAGAATATTCCGTTTGGCATCGGTTGTACCATTATTGGCGACTTTATCGCTTGCGCCGGCAAAACGGAAAAGTACCAAATTGTTTTATTCCCCAATGAAATGCAGCGCGAGACAAATTTTAAGAGAAACCTACGGCGGAAAAGTAAAAATACAAGAGCACGTGCATTTAACGTTGAATAAATGGATATCTCGGTAATTTGTTTTGAAACTGAATAAATATATTTGGCTACTATGTTAGCTGTAACCGGCATTCCATCATATTATTGGTTTCCAGAAGTCTCGAGAAGGAGAAAGGACTAGAAATATCTCGCGCTGCCGGTTGAAAACTATTTAAAACCCCTAAGAGAGACATCTTACTTCAGTTGCGTAGTTATTGTTATTGCGGTTTGTTCTGTTCCGCGTGAACCGAGATATCTGAATTAGTTTTCTCTTTAGATAACGCTTTGCATTGTATCGTATTTTGACGTTTTTAGTAGTATGAAGTATAACTGCCGATTATACTGCGTGATATTGTGAACTCTTGTAGGAATATCTCGGAGGAAAATTCCAGCGTTCTGATATATTTCTTTTGATAAGAATAATTTTTTATTAATATTTTCCGACTTTTGCATTCAATCTCTTACGAACCCGTACGCATGCAACAATATAATCACCATTTTCCAATTCATAAGAGTTATAAAATAAAGTATTCATGTGCAAAAAAATTGTGATTTAAAGACATCTGAGATAAACACAAAATTCAAAAATAATAATTTTTAATTTTGCAGCTGCTGAATACACTTCTAACTGTGACTGTGACCACTGGCATGAATAGAATGCTCAGTAAAGTGAAGTCTTTCACTTCCGTGCACGATATACAGGAATTTCAAAGTTCCTGAAGCCTGTAAAAATGAAAAGCTTTTAAATGCTTTTACGTTTTTAAAAGTATAGCTCCCTTTACCTGACATGAATGCTTTCCTTTTACACCTGACTATATTCCCTTTTTTCCTCAAATTTTTGCGGCTTCTCCTTTCAAAGGCTTCTCTCTCTTTCACCTTGTTTTTAGTTCAGAAATGCAGGTGTTTTATTACTTCCAAGAAACCGCCGAAGAATATTTTCAGTCACTTAAAGTCCCAAATTCTTTTGCGTCATAAACCTCTGCATTTGTGATCAATAAGTTAATGGTACTGAGCATAATTTCTATAAGGGTATAAGGTATCCTTACACCACCAAGGCATGCTTTTTGCATGCCTTGAAGGTGTAACGGTTAACACACTCGGCGCGTATTCGAGAGGTCCAGGGTTCGAGTCCCAGCGAAGGCATTGTTCATTTTTTTAGTCTCCCGCATAAAAAAATCCTAATGACTCTACAAGGGCAAGGAAATATTTAATATGAACAAAGATACAAAACGACTGGATGATATATTAATAAAATTCAGTTTATCTGAAGAAGGTATTTTCGAACTTAGGAAAAGCACATGCTATAGTCTGTTACCTTAAAATAGGAACTTCAAGGTCATTTTTCTTCTGACTAGCTTGCCTCGTAACCATGGTAACAACAGCCGCTGGAGATGGGTTGGATCCCTTAATTAGTTCCCCCCTCACGTGACTTCCATATTGCCTTGTGTTTTATTTCGTGAAAGCACCTGAAGGACGATTCGCTTAAAATTGCCCAATCACATAAGCTTCCGCTACGCGGGACTGGACGTCGAAAGGGACATTTCTCAGTACCCGTACATTTCCACGAAACCTACATAGCTAGGTTACCATTTTCACTTAGTAAACAGACATAAACGCCAAACAGTAATCGATTATCGGTCAGACTGGAATCGCGTGATCCTTTAGAAGCAGAACTTTCGTCTGATTGGTTGATCTCTACCGGGGACAAAGCTGCACACTGAATGTTTTCGACGAAGTTTCAAAATATCCCGCATAGCCGGAACATCGTTTCCGTAGCTAGGCGGGACTTTGCTTCCAGAGAAGCTAATTCTTCTATGAATCCTCTTGTTTAAAGCAATGCTACCAGAATATCGTTTCTCAGAAAAGTCCAGTCTGGAGGGGACCGTCGCTAGATGTGATAACTCCGTTAGATGATAGCACGAACTATAGAACTATAATACGACTTGAACATACAGTGTTTATTTTCTTCAACTAATTTGAAAGTCTCAAATAAGGTGGAGGAAATCAATGCTGTAATGTGCGTTGCGATTACGATTGCAAATAGG